CCTTTTTTTGGATGATGAGTTAGCTGACCACTGTACTAGAACATGTCATGACCAAAATTATGTAAAAAAACATATTTTTAATGAATAAAAAAAATGTATCACAGAAATGAAACATTACTATAATGTAAAACATAAGTCAACATAGATAGAAGAGTATATCATTTCTGGCTAGGAAAGAAAACAACTAAAAAAGTTGTTTTTTAAAAAGCAATGAGAATATTTGGTGGCCAAAAGTAGTTTCTGAGACCAATAATGATCTTATTAGACATTGACCAAATGTCTTCACAGTATGCGCCAGATGTCTGATAATTACTGGAGCTAAGTAGGTTCATGTCCACCAAAATTAAAATTTGAACTCTTTCTGTGGTAGTTAAGCATCTTTAAAGAATCATGATACAATTTCTATTTTGCTTTAGAAGATTGATATTTCAAAAGTTTGACACAATTCTGATTTTTTTTATCCTTTTTTTTTTTCTCTATCTATAGGTAATTATTGGGAGATTATTTTTAAAAGACAAAATTGTATCATCTTTTAAAAGAATATAAAAATATCAATTGCTTTGGAAACCTTTTTTAGAAAATTTAAATAATGTGTTTTAGGATTTTAAAATATTATCATATTACTTTTAATAATCAAAAGTAATTTAACTTTACATTTTTTTTTATGAAAATGTATTACAGTAGACCAAGTAGAATAAGTATAATTGAATGGACAAATGAAATAGGTGCAAAAAACTGATCTGAATAATTCAACAAAATCTGTACATTTCCTATATTAGGTCATATAGAAAGCACAATCAAACTTTAAAATGACAAAAAAGAAAATTTAATGGCTTTGTGCTATGGATCCAAAAAATTATACTTGCACATTTTTCTTTCTAATACATGTAATTAAATAAAATAAATATTTAAAAATGATGACATTTTAGAACATAATCTGATAGAAACATGACAATTCTAGTAAGATTTAATACTCTTAAAACTAAAAGTATTGCAAAAACCCAGTACTGACAAAACTTTGATGCACTGTACTTCTCTTCAATAACAAATTTGATTTTTTCTTTTTATGTTAAAAAACTTTTTTTTATGCATTTGTTATTTTTTTCCTACTTTGAGATTGTGTTTTGACTATAAAATTTTTAGATGAGAAAATGTTTCAGATAAACAATTCCAATCTGCACTTTAACTAAGCATGATCCCATTGTCATTATTGGATTTTTGTATTTGAATCTACCACATAAAAATATTGGCCATTTACAGTAATTTTTGGGGCTAATTAACCCCAGTGGAAAATTTCTGGTGCATAACTATCGCTAGAAGTCCTTTTGGCTTCTTCAAAAAGAGTTTTGCAAAACAAATATCAACAACTCCCAACAACAATCTTTTTATATGGTCCTGTTATTCTATAGAAAGCCTCAAAGATCACTAAGTCATTCCTGTGCTCCCTTATGGCATTAAAAGGCTGAACCAAAATGTTGTTTTAGAGTAAGGCACAAATGAGTCAATCCTTTACAAACCAAGTTACTTTTACTGGGTAAAGAAAAATACCAAGAAGCAACTTGCACCCCAAACAGTTGTTTAAATCTTACAAAGGCTGCAGTATGTGGGTAAAGTAAATTTAAGAAATAGAGAAATTTTACTTTTTGTGTACTAAAAATGTATACAAATTGTCTAGGAAAAATTGCCCATAAAAAAAAAAAATAGGCAGTAAAATAAAATTGTGACTGAACACAAGAAGTAATTAATTTGTTAAAAAAAAACACAGAAAATATAGATCTACATTCATACAACCATTATAGTTATACTTAGTATTATTAGGAGGTGCGGTTGCCAATTGTTTAAGTGCTTGCTTTCAGCTGAGGGGTCCTTGGTTCAAATCAACACTGGCAAAGACTGGGATTTTTACTTTCGGGATCAATAGGGTAACTCCACCTAGCTCTGATAATAGTTGGTGAAAGTAAAGATAGTTGTTGTGTTGGCCACATGACACTCTCGTTAACCATGGGCCACAGAAACAGATGACCTTAACATCATCTGCCCCATGGATCACAAGGTCTGACAGGGGAACTTTACTTAGTATAATTAAAATGATAACTGTGTGTCACAAAGCAGGGCAACTAGAACAAAGGAAAATAAGCTAATACAATTAAATTTTTAAAAGTCTCATGGCCGTAACTACAGCCAAGACCTAACCTAAACTAACAAAAATTGTGTCAGTTTAAACCTAATTAATACTTTTTACATTCCTTTTGACCAGGTAATTAAAAAAATGCTGATAAGGAAAAAATTTATTTAGTTTTAGTATAATTTTTTGTCATCATCACATTTTTAATCAGAAATAATACAGTAGTAGAAAACAATTATTATAAATTATTATGTAGGGACATCAAATATTTCAGAAAATGTCACAACCAAAGACAATTACAGCTTTATGGTTTCAAAGAGTGCATCAAAGAATGATTAAATAATCAAGGTATCATTGTGTGCAATTGTTGGATCA